TTTGTATACAGTATTAAACGTAATGACATTACATTGTAATGTTTTATAAGTTATTAGCAAATTAGATGAGAATATTGTTGAGATTTAATTAATTATATGTAATAATCAAATATACTGTGGGGAAGTATTTTATATTTGACATATTTTTGTTGTTTAAATTAATATTTAGTATTTTAAAAATTCAATTTTAAACATTAATAAATTAATACAATTATTTATATAAACGTATGTATGGGGTTTATATTGGTTAACATTATTTGACTACAGTATGAATTTTTAAGCTTAACTTTACATCTATTAATATTTACAACGATTCTTATGCTGTAATAGTTTTCACACATTTACTTTATTGATGATAAATGTCTTGAATTACTGTTTATTATTGATAATCAATTTATAAACAAATATATATTTAATAGAAAAACCGATTCAAAGAATTCAATTCATTCGTTTAGTTTATTTAACAAATTATTATATTTTATTTAAGATTTATTATCATTATTATACAAAATATTTATATATATTTTTTATGTACAAAATTCTTAGAATTAAAAAGTCATAAAAGTTGTCATTTGTATAAAGAAATAGTAAAAGAGATATAAAAGATTGGTATAAAAAATTTGTATAAAAGTTATGCGAAGCTATTGTTAAGATGAGAGAGAGATCACAGGTTTATGTTTATTGCTTTCGTCAAAAAATAGCACAAAAATTCATATTAAAGGCAATTATATGTGTTTTTTAAGTCTAAAACTATGGCACACAATAAGGTATTAAATATTATAAAAAGTTATTTGAAAAGAAAATGTATGTTTGGGTGAAGAATGGTTTCGATTGCTTTAATTTAAACACATTCTCAATCATTTTGAAACATAAATTGAAACACATTTTTCTCTATTAAAAAGCGAGCACTCATTTAACACAGAGAAGGGAAACACTGTTATGTTTTCAGACGTTTTGACAGAGAATTAATGAAATGAATGCTATTTAATAAATAATTTACAAGAAATGCGAGTCAAATAAAGTCGATGATCGCTAAAATGGACACAAACTTACTATTAAGACAAATCTAACGTAATATAAAACATATATAACACATAGATATATAACTTATATTATATATTTGGCAAATCATTATTAAATATGTATAATATTCTTATATAAAAACATCGTTTCGGCGATTCATTTATATATAAAACACTATAAAGTAATATAAATCTTATGTACAAATATATAGCATTTAAACTCATTATCTGATGCATTGAACATAAATAATATCTCTTTGAGAATTAGTGATCACAACAAACAACACACTCTCTTATAATATACTAATTGCTATTTTACTAAACAAACCATCGTTTAGATTAGAAACCTCTTCAAGAATATTAAACAGTTGTCTCATTCCTCCTCAGATTCAATGGTTGTAATTCTCGTTGAAGTTTATCAAATTCATTGTAATACTCGTGATCGTCAGACCCCTCCTCCATATCGCTACCACTGACCCGACGTGTGGTCACAATATTGCTGTTCTGAACCATTGGAGGATAATTGGGGTTCATTTGAGTGTTGGCAGGCATTGGATGCATAGATTGAGGACCGAATGGCAGACCCGTAGGCATTGCCAGCGGAGAGTTGGGCACAGAGTTGACGTATTCGTGCTCTCGATTCATGAGATGATACTCTAAATTGTCGAGACATCGGGGCTGACCCTTCACTTGAAGGAAGTCCGGTATATATCGGTAATCCTTTCCCTTCCCATTCACTGCTTCTGTAATACAAATGCCATTATAATAATGCTTTCTATAAATAGGAGTTAAACTACAATACCTGCGTGTTTGGCGTCACCGATCAAATCCATATAACTTGAGGGCTGACCGATAGGTCCGGGAGACGGCATTAGATAGTCGTCCTCATCGACTGGCAGTTTGAAAGCGAAATCAACGCTTTTTGAGGACATATTTGTATTGTTTCGCATTACTTCACAGAAGTCTCCGTCTATTCACGCAAATAATGATTTAGATTAGAAATGGATGACAAATGAATTCGGGATTAAAAGACATACCTTTACCCATGACTTTGACGGGATCTGATGAGTATCGGCCCGAACTCTGACTATTTTCCCTCAAATGTCCATTCATTTGGACGATAGGATAAGAAGAGACGGAAGGATCCAAATAAGTGAACTTATTATAACCGATGAAATCACAGTGTCTTCCGTAACCATTCATATAAATATTTTGTCTGTATTGGACATCAAGTGTATCGTCGCTATTGATTGTCCCGCCGTTTACAGAAAGACCACTATTGATGGGATCGCCTTCAAAGCCGCGGTCTTCCATAAACTTTTTGATGGGTGTCGGCGGCGGCGGTGTATCGGCTCCTGACTGTGTTTTGCCCGGTTGTAGGTATTCCTCGGCGTCCATAATAGTTTCCGGTCCTTCGATAGGCATACTTAAGGTGCGGATCAGCTCCTTCTCGTCTTGTTGTGTATAAGAAGGCAAACGCATGAGTTTGTCACCGGGGATGACGAGATAGCGGCCCGGATCGCGAGCCATTTTGGCGAACTCTTCGGCCAACTCCTTGAACGACGGTCGGGACTCGGCGTCCAACATCCAGCATTTGATCATGATCATATACACGTCGATCGTACAAATGGATGGTTGCGGTAGACGTTCGCCCTTTTCCAGAAGGTCGGGCACATCCCGTGCCGTTACGTTCTTATAGGGCCGGTCGCCATATGTTAACAGTTCCCACGCTATAGAGGGTACGAAATACAGGTAAATATGGTAAATGAGATCAGATGTAGGGTTTGGCAAAAGGGTTACAAAGTTTGAAGGTTACATCAGGTGTGCTATCAATAGCTGCAGGCATTTAAAAAACCTCCACATTATATAAAGGCATATATTCGTATAAAAGTGGGAATCATTTGGACGCTTACCGGTGACACCAAAGCTCCAGACGTCGCTCTTATGTGTGAATATCCGGTGTTGAATGCACTCGAGTGCCAACCATTTGATGGGCATTTTCCCACCGGCGGCCTTATACTCGTCCTCATCGATCTCCAAGAGCTTTGCTAAACCAAAATCAGTGATTTTCACACAACCGGGTGTTTGGAGTAA